GAATTTTTAATAAAGTCACAATCCCTTTAAATCATCTAATTCTATTATTAAATAATAAATCTTTTTAGAATTAATTATACAAAAAATATTGAATTTTTAAGTTATAGATCTCAAACCCTTAATCTAAGCCTTAATTATTTAACATTTAGATCTATGTTATTAAATTACATTAATATAATCAATCTTCTACAAAATTTATAGATTTTATATATACAAACTTTATTATAGGAAATCATTTGCTTATCTTTAATTTCTTATTTAATTATCAATTATTATTACTTAATTACTCATATTTAAAGACTAGACAATCAGTCAATTAAGATTCCTGATTGATTCTTATTTTTATTTAGTAAATCAATTTATTCATTATTTTTCAAAAGTTATAATTATGTTTTAGATTTGTGAATATAAATAATTATTGATATTAATACTTTGTTTTCTCCCTATCAGTATAGAATTAGACTGATTAGTTTTATTCAGGTATTCTTTTTTTTTAAAGTTTCATTCGAAGATTTTTAGTACATTTATAATTTTTTACTTTTCTTGCTTTCTTCTCTAGTCTATTGAATTTATTGAATTAAGATATTTTATGATATTCAATATACAAAGTTATTAATTAGGTGCTTCTTCAACTTAATCTTCTAATTTGCTTATTTTTCTACAAGTTATTTCTACAATTGTAAAATTTTCCTCTTTACAGTCATTTAATTTCATTTCGTCCTTTTAATTTTAAAACTAATAATACCATCATTTGTACACAGCCTTTTCTTTTAATTCATCTAATATATTTTATTCTTCTTATTATGTATTTACTAGGTTTTGATTTAAATCCTCTTTACTCATTACAGAGATTAATAATTATCTAATTATTATTTGAAGATAAATTGTATTGCATTTTTTATTAGTATTTCTATAAAAATAAATCTTTTTTATTAATAATTATATATTCATATATTATTATTATTATTTAAGTTTAATACTTTAATTATATACAAAGAAAGTTAACCTAAAAACAATCAAGAAAATAAGTATAATCTAAAACTTGATATTAAAAATATTTAAATTAAAGTAGATCAAATTAATTAATTCATTAGATAAGTAAAATACATTAATAATGAATTGTAAATATTTACTTAAAGAATCTTTTAATCCTTCATTCAAATTATAATTTATATAATTTTAAATAAAAAATATGCTCATTATTATGTTTCATTAACATTTCTATTAGTATTCTTTTAAAAAATTACTGTTCCCACTTGGCAATAGTTCTAAATTTAATATTTTAATTTATTACAATTTATTTTTAAAGTTAAGATTAATTCTTCATTTGAATTAACCAATTACTAATTAGTCATCATCACTTTCTTTTTAATATCTTCTAATTATGTTTTAATATTGTCATTTATGTATATAAAATCTGAATTTTTTCTCTATTTTAATTGTTATTCTTTGTCTTTCTATTCCTATTCTTCATATATTTATTAATTTTCAATATCTTCATTTGAGATTTCATATAGGTGTTTTTCTTTTAATATAAGAATTTCTTCTTCTTTTTATTTTTTTTATATTTCAAGTTATTCCTAATACTTTTAATATTCTTCTTAAGCCTTCTTTTCCTCCTGTTTGAATAATTCAAGTTATTTTTCTAAATCAGATTTTTCTTTTTGGAATTCTTCATTCTAAATTTTAAGTCTTTCCTAATACTTTTGTTGAATTTCTTTAGATTTTTCCATCTATTACTAAACACTTAAGGTTTTTTCTAAGGCTTTCTCTTCCTCCTGTTTGGATAGTTCAAGTTATTTTTCTAAATCAGATTTTTCTTTTTCCTTAATTTCAAGTCTTTCCTTATACTTTTCTTGAGTTTCTTTGGCTTTCTTCATCTATTATTCAGCTTCCTTGATCTTTTATTCTTATTCCGAAATTTCTTTATCAAATCTTTATTATAATAGTTAAAGCTCCTTTTAATATTTTTCACTATCTAATTTGGCTTCTAGGACTAATTATTCTTTCTGAAAAATTTCTTGTATATGTTATTGTTGAATTGTTTAAAGCTATTTTTCATGGTTTTCTTCAACCTCTTTGGCTTTCATCTTCTATTCTTAAGCTATTATTTTTTGCTTTTCTAAATCTTCTTTGGCATTTAATAATTCCTAATCAACTGCTTTAAATAGGTCTTTTTATTTTAAAGCCTCCTCCTAATATTTTTTTTGCTTTTCTTGGGCTATTTACTCTAATTATTCAACAATTTATTTATGTTCTTTTTCTTGTTTTTCTTTATCTTATTAAGCTTTTGCTTATAAATCAGAATATTATTTTTAAAATTTTTTTTCTATTCTATAACTATTCCTAATACTTTTTAAAATTTTCTGTGGTTTGTTTTTCCAATTCTTAAGTTTCTTAAGTTTTTTATATCGCTTTCCGTTCCTCTTCTTAAGCTTTCTTGAGATTTTCGTTTAATTCTTATTTTTCTTTTTCAAAATTTCTTTACAATATTTCCATCTATTTTTAAGACTCTTCTTCAATACTTTTGATTTTATTCTCCTATTCTTAAGCATCTTTGCTATATTCAAGAGCTTACTTTTCTTTATCTTATTAAGCTTTTGCTTATAAATCAGAATATTATTTTTCAAATTTTATTTTCTATTCTGATAACTATTCCTCATACTTTTTTGAAGTTTCTTTGGCCTCTTCCTCCTCTTTTTAAATTTTTTTAGTTGCTTCTATCGCTTTTAATTCCTCTTCTTCAGCTTTCTTGAGTTTTTCATTTAATTCATCTATATCTTTTTCAAATTATGCTTTCTATTATTTAAGCTATTTCTCATAATTTTCTGAAATTTCTTCAGTTTCTCTTTTCAATTTTTCAACTTGTTTTTTATGTGCATCTTAATCATCAGCTTATTATTTTTTTAATTTTTCTTCTTCCTCTTCAAATTTTTGTTTTTATTTCAAAAGCTCTTACTATTTGTCTTCAAAATTTGGGTTTGGGTTTGGGTTTGGGTTTGGGTTTGGGTTTGGGTTTGGGGTTGGGTTTGGGTTTGG